ATATGTTTTCAATCCCCCTTCTCTAAAGATCTTGTATAAACTAAAAAAATAAGCCACTTAGTACAACGATCTAGTGATGTTCCTCTCTTTGGTTCGTTTCTTACCAAAGACGAATTTGAACTACATTATTGCTAGCTCATTGTGAGGCTAAACCCACCTCCATCTGTAAATAATATCATTTGTCAAAAAAAAAAAAAATAATAAACTAAAAAATAAATTTGTCATTATACATCTTTCTATGACTAGGTTGAGATCAAAGAACAAACAACCCCACCCCACAAACACCAAAAACCCAAACACATGTTTGACACTGAATTTCGCCTGAGTCCTAGCGTTATCCACAATTTACTTAGTCCATTCCACACTTGGCGGAGAGAAGCTTCTACCACATGCTGTCTTGGAGCTAAAGAGGTGCTGAAAATCAGCATCAGATCTAGCCAAAATCGGGTTAAAGTATAATCGATGTCTTGTAACTCGAATAATCAAAACATCTATTCGTATTGAACTCTTGTGTTTTCAATTCCCCTTCTCTAAAGATCTTGTATAAACTAAAAAATAAGTTACTTAATACTACAGTCTAGTAGTGTTCATCTCACTTGTAAGTGAGAGGTCTTTGTTTCGTTTCTCGTCAAGGACGAATTTAAACCACTTTATTGCTAGCTCATTGTGAGGCTAAGCCCACCCCCACCTGTAAATAATATCGTTTGTCAAAAAAGAAAAAAAAATAATATATATATATATATATTGTCATTACACCTCTTTCTATGACTAAGTTTAGATCAAAGAAGAAAACCAACCAACCCACCCACCCCCCCCCAACACATGTTTGACACTGAATTTCGCCTGAGTTCTAGCGTTATCCACAATTTACTTGGTCCATTCCACACTTGGCGGAGAGAAGGTTCTACCACATGCCGTCTTGGACGGTGCATCGGTTTTCCCAAGCTGATAGCAGGAATTTTCCAATTGGATTATCCAAATATTTGGAGGCTGAAAGTGAAACTATAAAACGTTATCCAAATGAAGACCGTTGTGACAATTAATAAGTTTGAATGTGTCAGTTTGACGAAATAGCTAGGTTTGAGTATGAATACAGGTTACTGTTAGTCTTGCCCATGTTAGGGCCATATTGCTAGGTTTAGGTTTACTCAAAGTGGAATCTGGAATATAAGTCGGGTGGTGCCCATGTTAGGTTTAGGGTTACTCAAAGTGGAATCTGGAATATTCAGTTCGGTGGTGGTTTTTACATTTTTTTTTTTTACTTTACACTTTTTTTTTAAAATTTTTTTACTATTGGATTGAATAAATTAAAGATGATCAACGGACAAAATTAAACAAGAAGTGTGTGAATGTAAAAATAGGTGTGTGAATAGCACCACCCTATTCATTTTATTCTAAATAACTTGGCCTTACATCAAATTGTTGAGAGTCAATCCCACATCAGGGAAATAAGAAGCTTTGCATGTGCTTATAAGTAGTCAATAGATTACTCACCATATTGCCAATTAATTTTATAAGGAAACCTCAACTTCTTCACGAGATTCAAACAATTTTGGAGATTATATCAAGAGGTTGCTTCCCTTTACTTCGTGGTTTGCCATAACATTGAACTAACCAATATTGTTGACAGAAAAAAGGGTTGTTCCATTTTCTTCGCCAAACATTAGAGTTGAACGCAAGCAAATTTGTATGGAAAAATTAAAACACATGATGACAGGAAGATGATAATAACATAAAAAAACACATAATGATGCATGGTAAGTTTAAAGTACTGTTATTTTAACGTCGTGTTGCCCTATTGCACATTCCTAACACAATTTTAATTGTTGCTGCATATATATTTTCATTTACCCTTAGCATCCGAGTAAACCGTAGCCTAGGCATCCCCCCAAAAGAACCTACTAAGACCTGCTCGAACGATCGAGTAGGTGGAGCTAACAAGCAGGTAAGAAAGCTTTTGCCCTTTATGGATCGAGTAGGTAAGAGTTGTTGCCAAGAAGTTTGAGTGGAGTAGGTAGGGGGACACGAATAATCATCTTGTTTTACAAGTTTTCTTTTTGTTCTTTTTCATGGGACTTTTTAACTCCTGGATTATTTATATTTTCGGTCGGTTAATAAATCTATTAGCCAATCAGTGAAGTAATTAATCTTGTTATTCATATATGAACTAACAGAAACCGACCAAAAAAAATAAAAGATTAATTATTTAGCAACAGTTGGATGGTCGCTCTGCAGCCAGGCTTATGCATGAGATGTGCTCTCTGTGTTGCCAGCAAACCTTAGGGTTTCTGGCACGCGTCCAAGGTAGGCGACGTCTGACTAATTTCCACGTCAGGTATACGTGGGATTGAATCTTGCGACCGTTGGCATGAGTTGCAACGATCGATGCTGAAGCTCCTTTTCTAAAGTGCTGTGAATAAAGTCAAAGGAGCCGTGGTACGTTAATAATGGATAATGAAGTGCCACGACAAGGTGTCCAGTCGGACACGCGTATGCAATATAAAATATCAGGAAAATTGTTATAGTGGCCCTCTTGCAAGGAATGAAAGATCAACTTCGAATCTTTGTGTCTGGATCTTAGGGACTGAGTGGACCGGACGGTTCAAGAAAGAAAGAAAACAATATGGGTTGTAGAATTTGTTTTGAAGTGAGCCAATAGAGTAAGCTACTGGTGATCGTAGAACTGAAATTGAATGGTTTAGATTTTTTGGTCAGCATGCTTTAGATACAAAGATTCGGAGTAAATTTCAATGCCCCCGCAAAATATTCCTCTCCGTTGGGCTCTTTTAAATGTGTATTCTCATATAATTAATATTTTATTTTAATTTACGTAATATTTTACTCCAATTTATATCATGATGATAGGGTTTGAAAGACTGAGGGCTGAAGAGGAACCTCTTACATCCAATATTAGGAAATTATCAACAACGTAAATGCGGACTATTAACATATTATTAATAATATCAACAAGAAATACCAATGCATAGAGCATATTGACAAAAAAAACAAGTTAATTGACCGTCTCTCCCAAGGTTCCTAGACGTTCTTTGTCGATATTGTCAATGTATAAATATTGTTGATATATTGGGTATATGACATATACATATTTGGTGATTTTTTACTAGTTCCCTAAAATATCTCTAGAGATCATGCGCGGTGGATCTGAAGTTCAAGTTCCATATCGGAAAATTAACTCCAAACCTCACTTCAAAAATTTCTAGAGATCAGGGGTTTGAGCTATATCCCTGTCGCTTGGCAACTAATTCAGTCCAAACCGAAAAAATGAAACGGTCATGTTTAATTTCTAGATGGTTAGACTTAGGGTTCTTGTAATTTAATAAGATGAAAGTATTGATGGCTTAATTTGATATCTTCTTAACTACAAGTTGAATCTTATTCTGCCGTTAGAAACTTGTTTCGTGCCATTAAGTCGATGAATTCAATTTTCGTGTCACACTTTATCTTGTTCCGTTAACTTTTTTCACCAAATACTCTACTAACTTGTATAGCATGGCACATATGTGAGCTAGTTTTCGCTAACATGTAAATCAAGTAAGTGGCATAAGTATTAACGAGTTTAAAATTTAAATTTTTTATAAAACCAATTGAAAATCACTTGGCCTGCTTCTGTCCTAATTAATGAACCTCAACCCTTCCGACATATATCCTGCAAGCCGAAAGACTTTGAGCCCATTTATATTTGGCGTGAGGTGAACTTTGCTGCAAATGTTTTGGCTCACTCAAGACACCAACTGATTATAAAGGCTTTGCTCTTTTTGACTGGTTTTCGTTTTATAAAAGAGAAATGGATTCTATTAACAACCAAAAATAATAATTAGACAACCATCATTAGGGTTTACAACTTTAGGGTGATAAGAAAAAGTAAAAGGAAATGCCTTAGTAGGGTTGGAAAAAAAAATCCCGAAAATCTCGAATTGTACCAAAATAATCTTGAAACTAAATGGAAAACATCCCAAACTGAAAATTTCGAACCGCTTGATATCCGACCCCGAACCAATTCATAAAAGTTTGGTACGGGATTGGGACTTGATATGGCCTCGTTAGGTATTCCCGAACAGAACTGATCAATATTTTAATATAATTTTGTATATATTTGAATTAATAATGGCCATTGAATTTAGTTGAGGTTCAATCTCAACCGTTCGTTACTATCCGTCACCTCACTTCCTCAAGAGACTTCAAGCTCTCCCGTCTATCATCTCACTTCCATAAATCTTCCCAAACCTTAGCTGTCATCATTATGTCTGAGGCCATAATACTTCCACCTCTTTGCTAGCACCTAGACTCTAGGCATATTGACTTTCAAACATAAAGCTAAGACAACTTCGCCTTCACAATGCAAAACCAAATTGGCTTTCATACGTAACCTTGATATTCTCTCTCTCTCTCTCTCTCTCTCTCTCTCTCTCTCTCATCTGAGTTCTCTCTGTTTCTCCGTCGCCCAGCCAATGCAGCCACCACGCACCACCACCAAATGACTTCGTGGCGCAACCACCACATGTTCCCCACCACGTCGCACAACCACCATGTTGCACAGCCACCACGACTCGCTTGTTGTTTCTTTGTCTATCAATCTCTCCTCCGCCCTTATTCTCCACCTCTGTCGGCGCCGTGGGAAATCTTTGCACGGAAAATGGCCAATCCCAAAACGTACCGAAATCCAAAAATTTTTTGGAAATCCTAAACTTTCGGTTTGGTTTCGGTTTTTGGAATCTCATACCGAAATAAATTGGTTCGAGATTTGGGTTATGAGTTTAGGTTCGGGATCCCGTCCCAAACCACCTCTATGCCTTAGGGTGATAAAAGAGAAAGGAAAAGGGTAATTTGCAATTTAAGCAATGAAGTATTTTCATCTTGTGTTGCAAGATTTGAATAGATAAGTTAGTTTATCTTTGATTATAGGCCGATTGTACGTACATGACGATGTGTCTGTAACACTCATCGATAGTCCAAAGAAAATGCAAGCAAATAAAAACAACTTTGGCGGAAAAATGATTTATATTGAAGACAATTTAGTTACATGCATACGTACGCACACAATTATTATGTATTGAAGGACTCATGTTAAATAATGAATTTACTACTGTGGTGCATGCCGAGATCTAATACAGCTATACAATGGTCTCTGTACATCAACAAGTTTCCCGGAACTTAAGAACAAGACCATTCTTCATCCGAGACGATGACTTCCAATTTTCCAAACCATCACAAAAACTTGTCCTCTCGATGAATCCGAAATTCATAAACTTAATGGTTTATTTACTATAGATTAAACATGACTTTAATGGCGTCACCCCCACGAGCACTGGTTGCAAATGCTTCCTCCACCTCCTTCTCGGTAAATTCAAACCGGTGGGTAATAAGCGGCTTCACGTCGATCTTTCCGCTTCTCAAAAACTCTAGGCAAAGAGGCCATGTGTTCTTATACCGGAAAACTCCAACCACGTCAACCTCCCTGGCGGCAGCCGGAGTCAGAGGGACTGTCATCATGCTGTGCCCCATTCCTACAAGGCAAACTTTGCCGCCGGGACGAGTAGCATTGAGGCCCGTAGACATGGTTTTGTTGAAACCCACACAGTCGAAGGTCACATCAACTTCGGCTCCCATGGTTTCTTTAATCTTGGCAACTTCGTCATCTAAATCCTCCATTTTTGCCGAAACTTTGACGGTTCCATCAGCTCCCAGAGACTTTGCCATGGCTAAACGCTTATCATCCATATCTACGATGACGATTCTTGGTGCTCCGAAGGCACGAGCAGCGAGCACGGAAACCAGCCCAATCGGCCCTGCTCCGACGATCAGAACAGTTGTTTCGGGACCAACATTGGCTCGCCGACAAGCGTGAACCCCAACACTCAAGGGCTCACACATTGCTCCTTCCTCCAAGCTCACGTTTTCCGGCAGTTTAAAGCATAGATCTGCAGGGTGCACAATCTGGTTAGCCAAGGAACCATGAACCGGTGGGGTGGCGAAAAACTTCATGTCGGGGCAGAGATTGTAGCGGCCTCCTTTGCACTGCTGGCAACGTGAGCAGCTGATGCCGGGCTCTACCGCCACGCGGTCACCAGAAACCAGATGCTTCACGTCGCTCCCAACTTTTTCTACGATCCCAGCACACTCATGTCCGATCACCATTGGTTCTTTCACCTTAAAATCCGCCAGTTTCATGTTCTTGAGGTAGTGAACATCGCTTCCACAAATGCCGACAGCCTTAATCCGAATTTGAACATCATTGGGTCCTAAATTAAGAAATCCAAACAAAACAGGGAGCAACATGTTAGTCAATACATCCATGAAAACTGAAAATAAAAATATAAAAAGGAAAAAAAAAAAAAACTAGCGATGAAATTAAAAAGTAGGGAGATAAGTAAATACCAATATCGGGGAGCTTGAAAGGTAGGATCCTGATGGTGTTAACATCGACGAGCCAGGCAGCCATGTTTTCCTGCTCAACAGGTTTGGCATCTCTAACCACGCCATTGCAGGATTGACCTCCCTTACCCATTTTTCACCTTTCTCTGTTTTTTTTAATGTGTTTGGAAGACACAAACTACTTATTCTTCAAATAAAATAGATACAGAAGATACAGAATACACGGAATACACAGAATGCACGGACTTGTTTGATTTCTTGATGAAAATAGAGTGGCTACGGGGTGGTATTTATAGTGGTCTAGGTTGCCTGTGAAGGTGCAAGATCACCCGCTGTAAGTTTATAGAATCTTATATGGCCAAATGGTGGCTGTCATAGTTGTATCTTAGGGAACCTTTTTTAACGTGTGTCTTGAATTATTCTAGAAAATTTTCGTTGAGTTGTCAGATGTTTACATGGAGAAATTAATTCGTTCTTATCATAATACGTGTGATTATCACACTGTTACATAGAGAAATTAATTCATTTTTATCATAACACGTATGATTGACACACTATTACGTGGATAATTTAATTCATTGATATCATAAAACGTGTATATATTTGTTAACTTTTTATCATAAATATATGAAATCTCAAAAAAGTTTGGATTTGGGCGGAATGGTTTGTTCTCAAGTATATTCCCTTAGTTACAATCACACTTTTGGATATATGCGTCTCTTATTAAATTTGGGATTGGTATCTCCTCTTGTGATAAACTTCTTTGTGAATCTCGAATATCATTCATGAATTAGCTTGACGTGTCGTTACTATGTCACGTAGATGTTTTCTTCTTGATTTTGGGATCTTAACCAGTTACCAATTTTATCTATTTAAACAATAGTAAAAGATGATGAAAATATGCATTGAGCCGTACAACAAGATAACTACAATTTGGCATGAAATTCGCCTTATCATCTACTACGCAAATTCAATTGAGAATTTCTCATATATGACTATCTCGAATGAAGAGAAATACAATTAAAATATAGTTCAGCTACTAAATCAGCCGAAAAGTTGGAGTGCAAGATGCGTGAAAGTGTGGGCGTAGGGACCACCTAAATGTTGATTCAACTGATGTTTTAGGGAACTGCTGAATCGATTCCACGGCATGCAGAGTCAGATTGATGTAGCATCCGTCCTCATTATCCATCAGTTGGGTCCCATGTCGATTCAATTTGTGTAGGCAGTTGAGTAATTTGAACTCAATTAAGATAAGCCTTGGAACCCCATGAAGGAAACATATTTAACGTAATTACCCCATATGAACCTTGGATAGATGATTGATCGGATCATATCGGATAAATCTTTATTTATTCTACGTTATCAAAAATATTTGTTTTATAACTCGTTTGTAAGTATTTTGAAAATAACTAAAACCGTTTTTAAAGAAAATATTTTTGGATTATAAAAACACTTGAAATATACTTCAAGTGTTTTCTAAGATTCACTTGCATTTCAAAAAACATTTTTAACAAAATTGCTTTCAATTATTTTAAAAACACTTCCATATGAGCCTTAGCCGCTAATTAGCACTACCGTTTAGTAAATTTTCTCTTCACTTGTAAGTTAGAAATCTTAACTTCGATTCTCGTAAAAAACAAATTTGAACCCTCTAAATAATATCAAACATATTAAAAAATATTATTTTAGCCAATGACATGAATGTGAAGTTATCAAATAAAATGTATGATCCATTTATCTATTCTTTGGTCGGCAAATGACTAGTGAAAAAATCTATATAGTCAAATTACTAAAATATTTCTCCAAAATTTTGCGATGTCAACATCCTACCAACCAAAGAAAACTGTTTGATTAATAACCGTCGGTTAATGAAAACAAAAATGTGTCAGTTGACAGTTGGGCTCTTTTGTTTCCAGCCCCAATTTTCTGGCGCATGAATGATGACGAAGTTTCTTCGAAGCAGAGCATCAGCATGTGAAGTTTATCAATTGAAGTCCAGCATGAAGTGAAGGAGTGGTCAACAATGGTAACCCAGATGGAAGGATGAATGCCACGGCACCGCCACCCACCCAACAGTACCCAAGCCGCCACGCCAAGCACCACTTCTCTCTCGACTTTCACAGCGATCCCTCCGATTCAATAAACTTACCGTAAAAAACGAATTGAAGAATTACCAATCAGCATTTTTGGTATTATTAAAGGGTTATTTGGTTTGGTAGCTATTTTTAGTTAAAAAAAAAAAAAAAACCAAAAACTCAAAGTTAAATTTATAAACACAAGATAAATAATTTTTAATTTTCAATAAAAGTAGTTCGGTGATGATTTTTAAGATTTCAAGATAAATAATTTTTAATTTTCAATAAAAGTAGTTTGGTGATGATTTTTAAGTTTCAAGAAATTTGAAACAACTAAAAGAGAACGCGAACAAAAGGTGCCTAGACGAAAATTGAGATTAACTAAATAAAGACATGATATTAGATAGGATATGTGACAACCCGTTTCAAATTTTACGTTTTTATTTTATTTTAAAAGCGTGAGTTTACGAAACTTCCGTTGACCATCGACTTGGGAGATGTGTGACTTATTCTTTTAGCATATCCTCGTAGTACTCGTTGGTACAAACGTATAGGCGAAAACCATTTGCGAGTCCGGATTATAATGATATAGTTACGGATGTTCGAAATTAGTTATTCAAGGTTTAGTGTTAATTAAATTAAATCCCCACTTTGTGGGGTGAAGCCAAAAATCAGAAATGAGAAAAAAAAAAAAAAAAAAAAAGGAAAGAAAGAAAAAAAGGGGGGAAAAGCTCTCGTGGGTTTCGTCCGTACACCTCTCCGATTACCCATCTTTCAATGTTGATTCCGGCCAACTCCGATGGAGTTTTTCGATGCCACCACCACCATCTTGAAGCTCTCATTCCCCTCTACAAAACCCACCCAAGAACCACCTTGATTAACCATGGGATGAGACTGTTTGAGGCCACGAAAGTTGACGAAAATCAATAGTGCTCCGCCTACCCTTTTCGATTTTCCGGCAAATCGGCAAAGCGATGGCCGATGCCACCACTTGGGCTTTGTAGCCCATCATCCCAGGAGCAAAACCCAACCAACCTTGACCCCGTTGGACCACCGTAGACGACAAATCGACATCGGGAAGTTTTAGGCACCCGCCCGCTTTGTGGGCAAAATTGACAATCTTCCGTCCACTTTTGGACTTCGTGGCAGGTGACAATAGATCGTGATGTCTCGATGTGCGTGCAAGATAATCATAGCGTGGACTCTAGGTGAGTGGGCCTTTTTCTTTCATAGGCATATAATTGATAGTTCCACAAGCACTTCTATAGTGATCTATGCTTGTTACCTAAAATTAATCATTTTGAACTACGAATGACTTGATCCCTGTTTAGGGTACATAGGCAGTCTAACAAGACGTTAGATGCAGCCATATAATAAATGAGATTAAATAATTGAGACAATAGCCTTGTTTAGTGAATTGAGCAATGTGAGGGACATTGGTGGGAATTGTGAGATTTAACTTTATGATTTGGTGATTAAATGTTGATCATAAATCAATGCGTGAAGAATCAAGAAATTGAAGTAAGGAAAGGTAAGTATGATAGTTAATGTAACTAGGGTCTAATTGGGCTTATCACTAATGATTACTCTCAAAAGTAAATAGTTTGGGAGTAGGGTGTTATTGATTGTACATGTTACGCCGTATTATATATATTTTGGGAATATCATGAAATGTTTGGGTTTAGATTGCATCATGCATATTCATATGGATATTACCTGGACCTGACTATTGTAAATGCTTTGAAGTGCTATATGATGCCGCGGACGCCCATGTAAGTCTTAGGTGAGTACATGTTGATGTTAGTGAGTATGATTGTGTTGAGATATAATATAGCTCATAAACCTGCACCCCGGTGTTAGTGCTCCCACCCATGGCCAGGGCACAGTCATTCACGTGATGTTCACCTCCCGCACCTTACGCTCACCTTGGATCCAAGGTAGGTGCACAGTCCTGTCGTACAGACCACTTTAGGTGGTTCCGACTCGTAGGTGACCCACGATTATTCGCACAGTCTTCACGTGATCGTAGTAATTGAGCGTATTTATTTACACCCAATCTTGTCGTACAGACCACTTTAGGTGGTTCCGACTCGTGTGCAGGTATACTTATTGAGTTATTGGCTAGCCATGATTGATGAGATATGAATAAGTCGTACAAGTCACTATAGGTGACTCCAACTTATATGCTAGCCATGATTGATGAGATATGGATAAGTCGTATAGGTCACTATAGGTGACTCCGACTTATATGCTAGCCATGATTGATGAGGTATGGATAAGTCGTACAGGTCATTATAGGTGACTCCGACTTATATGCTAGCCATGATTGATGAGATATGGATAAGTTGTACATGTCATATTAGATGACTCCGACTGATATATCATTTTGTATTAATTAAGTTCATTTAGCCTACTTATTATTGCATGGTGGAGTTGATGGCAAACCGTGGTTCTGGCCATTTCTGAGTATGGTTTGGATTTTGTATATATGTTGTATTGTCTTATGGAAAACGATACGGGTTTTACATTTAGGGGCATTACTTTTAGAGAGGTAATAACTTTGGGAAGCTTGGTTTTATTGCTTACTCATACTCTCTGTTTGGTGCCCTCCAGGTTTTAACTGCTGAGTTTGTATCGACAAGAATCTATGGCGAATCTTAGTATTGATGGATATTTCTAAGGGTATAATTCTTACCCACACTCCTGTACCTTACTTATGCTCTGACATCGTGCGTGAAATGGGTTCGCTCCCGCTTGCAATGCACTCTGGTATTAATAATTTTTAGGTTCAAATTATTCACATTTTTCTACACTCTATCACATTTTATGGCTTCGTCACCTTCCAGGTGTCGGCCAGCACAGCTCGATTCAAGGTCCAAGTAGACTTTCTGGGTCGGGGTGTGTCAGGATATATGGCTTGGATTAAAAAAACCAAAAAAAAAAAAAAAAAACGATAGGATGGATGGATGGCTGAATAACTCAAAGATCAACTTGACAAGCCTAAATCGGATAATAAGGTCCATGCAACGTAGGCTTGGGCTCTTAATTAGCTCCGATTTGGGCTTGTAATAGACTTATCTCTTCAAAGACAATGTTTCAAGTCAAAC